TTTTCCAATAAGGATACTGGGGGGGAGCGCGGGAAGTACCTTCTTACTATGACTGCGGAACCATCAGCGGCCGCAATCCAATTAGGATTTGAGGCGGGCACGCTGATGGCTCCGCAATCACTTCCAGCCCTGCGTCACGCTCGCACAGGTCCGCAAGAAAGAGATCTTGGGCCTGCCGGGCGTGATTCAGGTTGGCCTGCAGGAGTCTTGTAGACATTTTTAGGTCCACGAAACCCGTGCAGGCCAATCACTCCTGCAGGCCAATCTCCATCCTGTCTTTATTTTCGGGACATTGCGAGAGTGTCGTCTCGCACTCTATCATCTGGGGGGGACAGGACTCCTCCAGGGCAGGCAGAATCGCCGCTGTCTGTTCCTTCTTCTTATTTTGTTGGGGAAGGGGTGCCTAGGCTGTCCCCCCTTCTTTCTTTTGTCCTTGTTCTTTGGGGCATTGCACGCAGGGCCCCCCATTTGATGGGAGGCCGGGCGGCCGGCTGCATTACATATGACGCAATGCGCCGGTGCCGTGCATGTCCTCGCTTCGTGCCCCTCGGTCCCACAGCGGTAACAGCACTTGCTGCAATCTGTGTTGCCCGAGGGACACTTGGCCTGTACGTGCCCCCTCTGCAGACACCTATGGCACTGGAGGGGGCGCGTCTCGAGTAGCTCCACGTTAAAGTGGAACCACCTGTCCGGTAAACGGCCAATTTTAGCCACTTTGGTGGCCGCCTCCAAAGGACATCGGACCCAGGCAGTCCTTAGTCCCCTTCCCATTGTTTGGATGTCTCCCACCTTTACATCGGCGGGGGAGCATCCTCCATATTCCGCCACAGCCCGGGCAATGTCCTCGGGTGTGGCAGATGGGTCCGCCCCGCTGACCCGGATCTCTCCCATTTTCTGAGGGCGAGAGATCCGGATCTCTGGCCTGTCGGCAAACAGTTCTGCCATTTTATTGGCCAGTTTGTCCGCCTGCTCCTTCCTTTCCGGGCCCGAAAGCTCAATGAGCATAGTACTCGTCTGGGTCGTGTCGGACTTCAACGGTCCTGTGATCCCCAGTTCTTTGAGGGGGATCTTCTCCTGTACCTGCCTCATAGTGGCAGCGTACTTACCCCCCGGACAGGTGAGCATAATTGCTGCTGTGCGGGAGGCCCTCCTCTTCTTCTTACCCCCTTTCTTCCCCGCTCCTTAGGTGGGGGGAAAGGGGGAGGTTTGGGAGCTGTTTTGTTCCCTACTTCCTTGGGGGGAGTCTTATTTTTCCCCTTCTTTACGACCACCGTCCAAGGTATCTGCTCGTCCTCCCGCCGGGGTGCGGCGGTTGAGGGGGCAGTGACGATGGTCTTATTCCCTCCAGGGGGGGTCGAAGGACCCGGCTTCTTGCTCGAGTCCCTCTTCTTCTCCTTAGGGGGAGGAGGAGGGCCGGCAGTGGGCTGTCGCGAGGCGGCGGACCGCTGTTTCGGCTCCTTCTTCTTCCCCTTTTCTCCCTTCCCCTTCTTTGAGTCTTCAGTGGGGGGAACCACCGCCCTAGCGGGGGTGGACCCGTACCACCGGGAGATTTGGAAGGCGGGGGGGGGTTAGGCAAGGAGAGGATAATCCCAGCCATTATCTCCTTGATGTCCTTGAGGAGAGTCTCTCTCATGGTCTCTCTCATGGTCATCTTCTCTCCTGGTCTTTGAGGAGAGTCTCCCTCATCCTGTCGTGGACTTTGTTGGTAATTATTCCAACAAAATCTTTATCTCCAGTAATTTGGCAATCGCTAGTGATTACCGGTTTCGCTGGCCGGTCCTCTATTAATTTACTTACCCCCTTTATCGGAGGCCTCCTGACGGGATGTTGCGCCAGATCTTCTTCAGAGGGAAAGACGATTGCGGGAGAGAGTATCAGGGGGGTGAACATCCCTTCTAAGAGAGTAACCTTTTTTTTTTTGTTCAGAGATGAGAAAATTTTCTAAAGACACCCTGGCCCGGACCAGGGTAGTGCTGGATTCGACCGAGTCTTGCATCCGGGAAGATTCTCGTCCTGACCAATAGAGAATTCCCATTCCTCAGCCTGACTCGGATCCAACTTCCCTTAGCGGGTGGGAAAAGTTTGATCTACAAGGAAAGGACCGAGATAACGAATCCATCAGCCAGACGGAACCCATCTGCGCATCTCGACCGCCTACCAGCTAAAAACTCACCTCACGCCTATCAGGCTCCTACGTGAGAGAGAGACAGGCTAACTAACTAGAGCATATCACTGTCTCTCTCTCAGGATTGCCTTCTGAAAAGGCTCTAAACAATCTACCGGGAACTACTATTAAGTATGTAATATATCTATACATATACATACTTTTATATATATATATATATATATATATATGCATATTGTGACGTGACGCTTTTCGAGCGCCGTCACAAGGGCGATAGCCCGGCCGAGGGAGCAAGGAGCCCTGGTG